ATGCCAGCAGCAAGTCACATGATCTCCATGACCACTGAGCATTTCAAGGACTAGCAGGCCCTCTTCCTCTGAGCCACACAAACAATTCCAGCCAGAAGTATATCGCCAAAGGAAGAGGGTGCAGCCTAATCCCGCAGCTACACAGAGGCACCCGGCTATGGTCCACCAACAACCGACTACTCAACAGTGATAACATTCCAAAGATTCCTATCTTAGAGAATGCACGCAGAGCTGGCTCTGGGAACAAGAGGATGTAGAGGTACAGGTAAATGTGAAACAATATTATACATAATAATATAAATAGATAATAGGACAATAACCTATTTTTCTCTCTTACCCCAAACTCTTAGCCATCTGGATAAAAAGTTACTTCTTAAAGTATTTTCCTAGAGTTTATAAGCAAGCATTATATTGCATTATATGGAGATCCAAGGACAATGGATTATTTTTAGGACACACTTATAAAAATTTGTGCCCAACAGAATCTGCTCTTTAAACGCTAAAGCATTTGGACAATATATTAGTTTCAACCATAAATTATCATCTCCCCTGACCATAGGGAGCCTTTAAGGATGAATAAAATAACTGCAGGGTCCAATTAGAATAACATAAACTCAACAAAACATTTTTAATAAAGGAGCCTGTGCAATTTGCCTTTCACTATATGAAATGTAAAAGCTATACCTATCACTATTTTTAATGCAGAGTATTCTACCTACTGAAATAACCAGATTTCAAAATGAATTAACCAAAATCTCCCAAAGGCTAGCTACATCAAGATCTTTAAAATCTCAGATGCATCAGTTTTCTCACACATGACTACAAATAATTTCTCAAAAGTCTATCATTCAAATTTCATCTATTATTCCATATTGGAACTTTTTAAACAGGACTCAATACTTTTTTTAAAAAAACTGATGTGCAAAGGGAGCTTCAGTAATTATTTTATGAGTACTAGTTCATTTCCTATCAGAATCTATTAAACACTTTCTACTTTAGCAGTGACATCATGACTCACCCAGATCTATATCCAATTTCCTCAAATAAAAAGTTCGTATCAGAAGGTCTACCATGTAAAATGTGCAAGATTTCTTTAGAATTTAAAATCCACCATCACTACCTGAACCAAAACTATTTCAAAAACAGCAATGAAAGCAACTGTCTTCCAAATGCATAGCCCTAGCTATGAAGATCAAATTGTTTCACAATATTTATCTTCTCTACTGTGAGTGAAATCAGAGTGTATTATCCAATGGATATAACTCACTTTTCCATCAGTTATAAAGATAATCTCAAAAAAGCTATAAATAGCTAAATGAAACAATGGGACCAAATCAATTTAATGATAAATTATTAAAATATGATCTATAAACTGGCCTTCCTATTTCCTTCTCCATATTTTGAAGATAAACAAAGCGTACTCGGTGTCATTTTCATTTCCACATTGCAACATACCTTTCCTACATGAGTGGCCACTTCCCTCCCAAAACCCTGAAGGGAGAAGCTAGTCAGTTTAATAGGCAGGAACTTAGGAGCTTGGCCTCACCTCCCTTATTTAAACGTAAGAAACACCCACTCTGGAGCCCAGAAGCTGTAATCTTAGGAAAACACCACCTGTCTGTACTGGTAGATTAGACATATGGAACTGCACAAGGTAACTGGTTCCAAGGAAAGCTGAACAATGATGTGTGTCAATGGACTGTATTAAGTACAGAGGTCACCAGACACATCATTTTTGGTTGTATATCATACATACATATATAAACTTTCTTTTCTTTCACTTTGTCTTTCTCCTCTATGTCATCAAGTTGAGATCAGAGACTTTTTACTACTTGGGTAAGTGCAAATTTCTATATCTTTCAAAATATAGGACCAGAAGCCCCTTCCAGCCAATACTGACCATTAAACCATTTCAGTCATTTCAATTTACAGTTAGCAAGATATTCTAGAAATTCAAACTGATTTTCATTATCTGCCTAAATAATAATGTAACAGGCAAGTTTTAAAAGTACAGTTTTGTTTTAGTCAAAAAGTATATTCCAAAGTCCAAAAGAAAAGGTATAACTGTCCATATGTAGTCAATAATTAGGAAAAGACTAAATAGACTGACTTAAAACTCTACTGAATAGATTAATCAAAACTAAAGATAAGGAGTTATGCTCAATAAACACAACAGTATAAATCAGACCCTCTGGGACTTTTCCGTAGATTGAAAGGACTCAATATTGTTGCTTATATTTCTTGAAGTAGAGAAAATATTAGAATCTGATTTTCATATATCTTTCCATTGACCCAAACTATTACAATACTTCAACTGAACTCTTTATTTGAAAATCTCACCTTGTTTAGCTCTGGCCGAGTAGCTCAGTCGGTTAGAGCATTGTCCTGATACACCAAGGTTGTGGGATCAATCCCCAGTAGGGGCGCATATAAGAATCAGTCAATGAATGCATAAACAAGTGGAACAACAAATCGATGTTTCTTTGTCTCTCTCTCTCTCTTTTTCTCTCTCTCTCTCCCTTCCTCTCTCTTTCTAAACGCAATAAATAAATTTTTCTTTAAGAAAGAAAGAAACCCTCACCCTGTTTAAAGGTGATGAATCAGTTATGCAAGGTGACTAAAACTGCAGGGGACACATGTTGGTAGGCATGACTACCAACATAATTCTTAAGACTCATGGTAGCCTTAGCCTCTAAATTACTAACATACATTTTAATCAAAGATTTCAAATAAAAATGAATTTTTAAAGATAATTCATTGAAATTCTTCCCCAAAATTAATAAATTAAGGGGGGAAAGTACCCTAACCTCACTCAGGGCAGTAATCTATAACAATCAAAAAGAATAAAACTCGTTTGTTTAAAAAAAAACAACCTTCGTATCCTCACATTCTTAAAAAACACAGGTGATCACTCAAAATTATAAAGCTCTCTCACTTATGTGTAACACATTATTCTTAAATGTAATTTAAATCAATTTAAGTATAAATAAGTAAACTTTTCAAAATATGATTGATACATCACTGGGGAGAAATGTAATGACATATTCAACATGATGTAAGTATGACTTGGGGAAATTAAAATTATTCTAAAATGAAAAGAAAAAGGAAAACTTAAGTTTACTCAATTTTGTATTCATAGTTGCCATTACTGTATATCCCCCAGCTATTCATTAACCTTCTTTCCCCAGACCCACAGTGACTCCATGTACCAGTAATCTCAGGTAATCTCAGGACATCATCTTCTGCACAAAAGAGAATAATTTGCAATTAACAATTGTGTTAAGTTAGATGAAGTTTTCCGTGTGTGTGTGTGTGTGTGTGTGTGCGCGCGCTGAGTAAAGGTAAGATTTGGTGGTAAGTATACATCAATCTTCTTTCTTGCATTTCTTTTCTCCTCTTATCCACAATATATAATTAACCTTTCTTTGACATTATAAAACTTGTCATTAATAGTTACCATAATTATTTACCTCAAATATATCACTTCCAAAGCACCTCTTAATAGTAATAATTGCTAACGGTTATGAAGTGCTTACTATGTACCACACATTCTTCTGTGTGACTGTCATGTTAACTCAGTTAATCTTCACAACTTTGTAAAAGCAGGCATTATTATCCTCATGTTATAAATGGAAACACTGGATCAAGGAGAGACTGTGAGGTTCCCAGAGACACATGGCTAATGACTGATAGAGCTGGTATCAGTCACAATAGAAGGGGATCACATATCCCCAAGTCAGAGGCCTCTGGGACCAAACCACAATAGAGCTGGTGCCCACTATATATGTTTACCTTCCTTGACTAAGACCAAGCTGAAAGTGTTAACAGGAGAGATTAAAATTTATAAAGCATGATCAAAAGTGCAACTCAGGCCCGGCCGGGCGTGGCTCAGTGGTTGAGCGTCGACCTGGGATCCAGGCAATCAAGGTTCGATTCCCGGTCAGGGCACATGCCCAGGTTGTGGGCTGCGGCCGATCAATGACTCTCATCATTGACGTTTCTGTCTGTCTCCCTCTCCTTTCCTCTCTCTGAAATCAATAAAGATATATTTAAAAAAAAAAAAAAGTGCAACTCAGGGCATATACAGAAAACACAGCTGGGACTTCTGCCAAACTCCTGGGCAATTTTCACAGGGAAATGCAAGGCTGGGCATTGACAGGGTAGGTGCCTGATATGAGAGCCTAAACACAAGGGCCACAATCCAGTCAACTTGGGAAGATCTCATCCCCTTCTCCCTCAAACTCATCACTATTTTATCTTCCTGTCTTATTTGATTCCCCAAGTACTCCTCTCAACCAACAATTGTTCACTATAATCCTCTAAGCTGACTACCACAAATCTATCTTCTCTAAGTTTGAGCAGCAGAAGTTGGTCTTCTGAAAGCCTTAACATCCCCTGGACAAACTTGTCATCAAGGTTCCACACTGCGAGAGCTGAGAGACCCCCTCTCTGGACAACGAAGAATTACAGCAAACTTGAGCACCTCCCGCCACTGAACTCCCCAATGTCTGAAGTGAACTGGAGACCACCCTAACCACCACACTGGATAAGATGTGCCTCACAGAGCACAGCTTCAGAGCCTATATAGAACCATTAGGTTGCTAAGGAAACGTTCCCTTCCACTTCAGACACTTAGAAATAGTTGGAATTTTTTGTCTTCTAAACATGTATTACTTTCGGGGGAGTTAACTTCAGGAATTTTCCTACTAAAAATATGGACAAAATTTAAGTATCCAGTAACGTTAAATAACTAGTAACTTTTATAGTCATGAATTTCACAAAATGGGAAGAAGAAATTTAACTAACTTTCTTATATTACTCAGAGAAGTCCCCAACAAAAACAAACTAACAATATCACAGGCTTCATCACAATTTTGCTAATATTGTTGGTAAACACTGGTCATATAATTGATGGTTGACTAACTCAACAGTTTCATGTCATTTAAGAACAACAAACATACTCACAAATATTTTAAATAAAACATAAAGAAAAGAGATACCTCCAGTTCCACCAGAGCTGCAGTCACTGCATCTGTTGCAAGAGCACCAGCCTGTAGCTTTTCAATTGCCTATGAAACCAAGGGGAGAGATTATTCATTGTAAAACCACAACTTCTCAAAAACATAGGCAATAAAATATCAGACATTTCTTGTAGCAGTATTTTTTTTCACATTATCTCCTTGGGCAAGGGAAACAAAAGGAAAAATAAACAAAATGGAACTACATCAAACTGAAGTTTTTTCACAGTAAAGAAAACCACCAACAAATTGAAAAGACAATCCACTGAATGGGAGAATATATTCGCCAATGATACATCTGATAAGGGGTTAATATGCAAAATTTAAAAAGAACTTATACAACTCAACACCAAGAAAACAAACAATCCAATAAAAATGGGCAAAGGATCTGAATAGAAACTTCTCCAAAGAGGACATACAGATGGTCAAGAGAGACATGAAAAGATGCTCAATGTCACTAATCATCAGAAAAATGCAAATTTCTCTTAATATTCCCTCACACCTATCAGAATGGCTGTCAGCGAGAAATCAACAAACAAGTGTTGAAAAGAATGTGAAGAAAATGAAACCCTTGTGCACTGTTGGTGGGAATGCAGACTGGTGCAGCCACCGTGGAAAGCAAATTAGAAATGGAACTGCCTTATGATCCAGCAATTCCACTTCTGAGAATATATCCAAAGAAACCCAAAATACTGATTCGACAGACTATATGTACCCCTAAGTTCACTACAGTGTCATTTACAGTAGCCAAGATCTGAAAGCAGCCCAAGTGTCCATTAGTAGATGAGTGGATAAAAGAGCGATGGTACATTTACACCATGGAATACTACTCTGACATAAAAAAGAAGGAAACCTTACCCTTTGTGACAACATGGATGGACCTGGAGAGTATTATGCTAAGCAAAATTAGCAGTCAGAGAAGGACATGTACCATATGATTTCACTCATATGTGGAATCTAATGAACAAAATGAACTAACAAGCAAAATAGAAAGAGACTCATAAATAGAGAGCAGGCTGACAGCTGTGAGGGGTGGGGGGATGCAGGGGATAGAGAAATTAAGCAAAAAGAGAAAAAACTCATGGACACAGACAACAGTGTCGTGATTGCGGGGAAGAGAGGGAAGGGAGAGTGGGTGGGGTGAAGGAAGGTATGGGGGATAAATGGTGATGGATGGAGACTGGACCCGCGGTGGTAAACACACAAAACATTGTACAGATAATGTATTGTAGAACTGTGCACCTGAAACCTGACAATTTTGTTAACCAGTGTCTCCCCAATAAATTCAATAAAAAGGGGGGGAAAAGGAAAAACACAACTTCTCAAACATACCCAAAAACTTTCCAAAGGCTTAAAGAAGTACAGGAGACGTTTAGAATTAATAAAAAGTGATCACTATTTCCATTCCATACTTTAAGATATAAACTACTTAGATTTAAAACAAGCAAGAGTTTATATTCCGGTAATTTATGATATAGCTCACTTAATATTATTCAAATTAAGACAATGGGAAAAAATATAGCCACTAAACGCAAAGTACTAAGCATTTAGTAAATGAAAGGATTTCATTCATCACAAGAAGATTCAAATGTCCACAGATATTACATTAATTCAGTTTGGTTTAAATATCTTGATAATTCATATTTTATATAGACAACTGAGTCTCAGACTAAGCTAATAATTTCTCTTCCCACTGTTACTACTCTCCCCACCCCTCACTAAGAAAGCAGTGACTCCCAATCACAAAGGCATTTCAGGATTCTTAGATGGAAACAGACATTTAATAAAAGCACTTTTGATACTATAATATATTTTATAGTGAGATAAACAAATCATATTCTTTTGTAATATAAATTACAGAGAGTAAAGGTCTATAAAATCACCTTGCTTCCTTGCTTCTTGGGTATAAATTAAGACAGGAAAGGAAGACAAGAAAGACTGATTTCTAAATGAACTATTAAAGCTCCAAATTAATCAATAAAGAGAAAGCTCAAAAACAGAATTGTATTAAACTTTTAAGAAGCTCATTCATTGTAAAGTGAGGAGGCTGACTGTAGACTCTGAATGCATTCGTTTTCTAGGACTATAGTTCTTCTACATTAGTAAAACCTTTCTTTTCAGATAATGAAAAGATCTCACACTTTGAAAAATAAGATGAAAAATATAAAAGAGCTTAGAGAACTTTTTGCTTTATTATAAATTTGAAGAAACACAATAAAATCCCTATAACAAAATATTCTGATTTATTTATGGGATTTCATTCATAAGAAAAAGCTTGGATCTCTAATAAAGTATAATCTTTCTTTTAAATGGTATGTAAATATAAATCAAAAGGGCTGAGAGATTCATTTACTTGATATACAATATCCAATTAACATTCTATTTAAGTAAAAGTAAATGAAAGGTTTGCCTACAAGAGTATTTAGTCAGGATCAAAATAAAAACAAACAATATTTCTTGATTCCATTCCTGATTCCACATTAAGTATTCAACAATTTAGCAAAACCTCAAAAACCAGAGAGAAAACAAGCAGAACTCAGTACAAGGGCAAAGCTAACTCAGGAATGACAATGAATGTCTCCGATACAAACTACTTGATGAAAAACAGAAGGGAAACGTACGGGATACTCTCCCTAAGGAAAGCTCCCATTTTCATGTTAGTTTTTTTTCCTTCCCTTCACAGAAAAACACATTGGCTGCCTTTGAGCTGTTTTCTACAGACCTCAACACCCTTGCAAAGACTAAAAGATATATGATTATGTGCCCATAATTCCAAAAATACAGAGTTTAATCTGGGAAAGGAAGGGAAAGATCTAAGCATGATTTGGAGAATAAAAAAAGAAACAAAAAAAGACCTCACAATATGAGCAAAATTATTTTATGGTCCAAACCAAAAATTATCTTATAAATCAAACCTTAAAATTCTGAATTTCAAGGTAAAACTCCTTTATGGTCAAAACCAAAATGTTTTTATTATACCTTCTGACAAGCTCGTTTGCATACATGTTTATATTCCTTGGCTTTGGATTCCGAATGATAACCTGCACCTGTAGTGGGACAAACCAACCAATTATCAGTATTCATTAAAATGTCACAGACCTTGCTTATATTATATAAATAGTTGATACAAACTGATGCTCTCCTGGTGACAGTAAAACTATTGTCTTAACTCTACACAGTTTTAGAAATCGAATAGCTTCTTTCTCCACCAGAAGGCTTTTTAATACCATGCCTTATCTTCTTTTTCAAAACCTATTTTCCTGAGAGGCACTAGAAATAGCTCATGTCTCCAAAGAGGCTTCACCAAGGTCACCTCTCTTCCTTTTGAAAAACCTCTCTCCAAAGTCAGGAGTGTTTTGGTCTGGAGCTGATAACCCAGGAAGTGTCAGGGAAAAGAGTCCCTTTAAGTTCTTCTCTGTTAACCTTCATTCAGAAAGCACTTGCCATTTGGTAATCCAGAATTCTTAAAAGTAAAGCCCGGCTGGGTGTGGCTCAGCAGCTCAGCATCGACCTAGGATCCAGGAGATCAAGGTTCGATTCCCGGTCAGGGCACATGCCCAGGTTGTGGGCTCAATCCCCAATGACTCTTTCATCATTGGTGTTTCTATCTCTCTCTCCCTCTGCTGCCCTCTCTCTGAAATCAATAAAGATATAAAAAAAAAAAAAAAAAGTAACTTTACAAAACTAGTTAGTTTCTAAATAACATCTGAACTTGAGGGGTGTTACAGCCCACCTATTCATAAGCACCACCAATATTACCACTCCTACCAAACGTTTAAACCATCTCACCTCCTGGAATTTAAGCTCAGGGTGTCTCTGAAACCTCACTGATATGACTGCCTAACTGAAATTCTGTTGGTCCCTGATGAGGGACCCAAGGGTTAAATTTCACAATATCTGTCCTTGTCCTCTGAAGTACAGATTATAGGCTAATATATTGCCAAGAGCACTAGACGCAGACTTAAGGGCCCATTTAAGGGTTTCTCAACCTGGTTCTAGCAGGAACTAGCCATTTGGCTAAAGCCACTTAATCTCTCTGGTTTTAAGGTTCCTCACATATCATATTAAGAAGGCAAATTAGTTCTAAGACTGTGTAAATATATCTAAGATGGCCATAGTCAAATACGGAGGTCAATAAAATTTTTTCAGCAGAATTATTTTTAAAACTACAAACCAGTAAAAATTACTTTGTCTGGTTTTAACACTACCTAAATATATCTATTATATAGAGTAAAAGTAAATAATAGGGTAGGAGAGTAAAGAAGACATAGGAAGAGCTGTCATTACAAGATCTTCCAAGTGGGCAATTAAGGGAGGCCCTCACTATATCGAAGTCAATCTCTTTGGTTCCAGTTCCTCTCTGGTACTGTACCTCCTCCCAAGGTGAAATGCAATTCTCAGTGTACTTCAAGGCAAGGAAAAAAAAAAATCAACATTATTTTCACCTTCCGATTCACTCAGTTAGAGCTTACCTGCATGCACCAACACAAAGCCCCCTCGCTTCTCTTTATGGGACTGCTTGGTTTCCAACTCTTTGGCTGTTATTTTAACAGCCGGAACCTGAGATGATCTGGAAGGCAGCCCTTCGCCAGAAATCATCCCCTTCTCCATGGTCATTCTCCAAGTTTACCATCTTCTACTGGAAAAAGAGCATATTTCCATCCAAAAGTAAATGCAGGAGGGGAATTACCCTAAAGGAAAACAGAAAAAGATGGTATGCATTTCTTTGTACTAGCACACACCTACCTTATACAAACTAGTACAAAGACAGCTTTCAAAAAACTAAATTTTAAAGTTACTTAACTTGGTAATACAAAGAATATGAAAAGATTAGGATTTAAATCTCTCTGTCCACTAACAGTGCTCGCCTAAAGTCATATAAACAAAAGAACTGTTATAAAAAAACACTTCATACTGAGTCCAAAGACATTTTATCTTTCATTTTATCTACATGAAAGAAAACTTCCATATAACTTAAATATCACTTTCTACTCCCTCCAAACAAAATATTAATAATCTGTGGGATATTCTAGAATCACAGGCAGTGCTGGCAACATTACTAAGCATTGGTATAAAGCCTAGATCGCTGCTTATGGTGTTTTTCTTCAGCTTTATTGCGATATAATTGACATGTAACATTATGTAAGTTTGAGGTGTACAACATAATGATTTGATACTCATATACTGCAAAATGATTTCCACAATAAAGTTAGTTTACATATCCATCACTTCAGCATAATTACAATTTTTTTTTTGTGCTGAGAGAACATTTAAGATTTACGGATTGTTGGTTAAAGAAATGAAGCAACATATATATTCACACTGTCTATGTAGAACCTCTTAAGAAAAACAGTCTAATGCCCCATAGCTCAATGGTAAAACACAAATGCTAACAAAATTATATGACTAAACCAAGAAGTTAAAATAACACTTGTACAAATACTTGTTAGTTTTTATGAAAGCATTGTTTCTGAGGTTCTCAACAGATAATGAAATATAAAATTTAATAAAATAAATTACAAGCAACTTATACCACAAAGTTTATAATTTTTCTCATAAGCTCAGAAGTTTCTAGCAATCTTGGCTTAATAATAAGAATGACAGAACACAATTTATAAGGAAAATTGGATCATTTAAAAATCAACACAGATATTGAAGAAAATCTGAGTGTAAGGTGATTGAAACTACTTAAACATAGATTTACACTGTTACGTGAAACTCTGTACCTTATTTGAAAGTAAGAAATGAGAAGGGGTAGAAGTCATTCTTTTCCAATATGAAACATAATAGTAACATGAAGAGTGACTTAGCTGACTGCCTAGAGCTGCTTAATACAGCCTGGATACATTTAGGAAGATAAGGGGAGTCTGGATTCACGCTGAATTACCAGCTAACGACTAGATGAAGAGGAAGCTTTTAAAACAAGGAAGGATGATACCACCTCGAGACTACACCTGTATAACAGCTTGTACAACTTGGTTTGGGTTGAGCCCCACAGTCAGCCAGCCTGAGGAAATCCCACCCACAAACAGGACAACAACAGTTAAAACCCAATTAGAACAGGAGAGCCCAAATAAACCACAAAAGAATCACTCCTAGAGCACCCAGCTCAGGAGTTCAAGGGGACCACACTACTGGGTCCCACAGGACATTTACTACAAAAGGCAACCCCATGAAGACTAGGAATCATAGAACATATATCTAATACATAGAAATAAGCAGAAGAGACAACTAAAATGAGGAGACATGAAACAACCCCCAAATGAAAGAAAAGGAGAAATCTCAAGAAAAAGATCTAAATGAGATGGAGGTAAGCAACTTATCAGACATAGAGTTCAGAGTAATGATTATAAGGATGCTCAGGAAACTTAATGATAACTACAAGGAACTGAGTGGGAACTACAAGAAATTTGGTGAGAACTGTATCAACATGAAAAAGACATAAAAACCATGAATAAGAACCAGTCAGAAATGAAGAATACTACATGTGACATCAAGAATACATTGGAAAGACTTAAAAGCAGGTCTCATGAAGCAGAGGATTAAATCAACAATTTGGAAGACAAGGTAGAAAAAGACACCCAGTCAGAGCAGTATAAAGAAAAAACACTTAAAAGGCATGAGGACAGTTTAAGGGAACTTTGGGACAACACGAAATGGAACAACATCCACATCATAGGGGTTCAGAGGGACAAGATAGTGAGCAAAGAATAGAGAGAACCTGTTTGAAGAAATGACAAAAAATTTCCCTAACTTAGTGAAGAAAAAGTCACACAAGTTCAGGAGGCACAGAAAGTCGCAATCAAAATGAACACAAAAAGCCTCACACCAAGACACATCATAATTAAAATGGCAAATGTTAACAACAAAGAGAGACTCTTAAGGGCAGAAAGAAAGAAACAGTTACCTAAAAGGGAGCTCCCATAAGGCTGTCAACTGATTTCTCAACAGAAACACTACAGCCAGAAGAGAATGGCATGAAGTATTCAAAGTAATGAAAAGCACGTATCTGAAACCAAGAATATTCTGTTCAGCAACGCTATCATTCAAAATTGAAGGTTAAATAATGAGTTTCCCTGACAAAAAGAAAAAAAAGGCTCAAGGGGTGTATTACCACCAAACCAGCATCACAGGAAATGCTAAAGGGACTGTTTTAAGAAGAAAAAGTGACAGAGAGAAATATAGGCATAAAGAACTAAAATGGCAATAAATAAGTACCTATCAATACTAACCTTAAATGTAAATGGATTAAATGTTCCAATTAAAAGATATAGGATAGCTGAATGGATAAGAAAACATGACCTATAAATATGCTGTCTATAAGTGACCCACCTCAGAGCAAAAAACTCACAGAGGATGAAAGTGAAGGGATGGAAAAAAATTTTCCAAACAAATGGAAACAAAAAAAAGCTGCGCTAGCAATACCTAATATCTAACAAAACAGACTTCAAAACAAAGGCCATAGCAGGAGACAAAAAGGTCTCTACATTATCCTTAAGGGATTGATCCAACAAGAGGATACAATCCTGTTGAACGTATATGTACCCAATACAGGAGCATCTAAATATATTTTTTAAAACCCCTGGAGGAATTGAAGGGAGAGAAAGACAGCAAAAAAGTCATAGTAGGATACTTTAACACCCCACTGACATCACTGGATAGAATTTCCAGACAAAAAATCAACAAGGAAACAGTGACCTTAAATGACACACTAGATCAGATGGATTTAATTGATATTTACAGAACATTTCATCCCAAAGTTGCAGAATACACATTCTTCTCAAGTGCACATGGAACATTCTCAAAGACAGACCACATGTTAGAATACAAAATAAGTCTTTACCAAGTTCAAGAAGATTGAAATCATATCAAGCATCTTCTCAGATCACAATGGCATGAAGCTAGAAATCTACAATAAAAAAAAACTCGCAAATATTCAAACTCTCAGAGGCTAAATAGGAGGTTATTAAACAATGAATGGGTTACCAATGAAACCAAGGAAGAAACCAAAACTTCCTGGAAACAAATGAAAAAGAACACGCAGCAACCCAAAATCTATGGGACACAGTGAAGGCAGTCATGAGAAGGAAGTTCATAGCATTACAGATCTACCTGAAGAAACAAGGAAAGGCTCAAATAAATGATATAACCGAACAACTAAAAGGACTAGAAAGAGAACAACAAGAAAAGCCCAGGGGAAGCAGAAGGAAGGAAATAATAAAGATCAGAGTGGAAATAAATGACACAAAGACTAGATAAACAATTTAAAAGATCAATGAAACCAAGAGCTGATTCTTTGAAAAGATAAACAAGACTGATGAACCTTCAGCCAGGCTTACCAAGAAACAAAGAGTAGAGGACCCAAATAAATAAAATCAAAAATTAAATAAGCAAAGAACTGACACCACAGAAATACAAAGGACTGTAAGAAAATACTATGAAAATCTATATATGCCAACAACCTGGACAACCTGGTGAAATGGACAAGTTCCTGAAAACAAAAAGCTTCTATAACTCAACCAGGAGGAATCGGAAAGTCTGAATAGGCCGATAATTCATGAAATTGAAGTAGTAATCAAACAACTCCCAGGCAGCCCAGCTGGCATGGCTCAGAGTATCAACCTATGATCCAGGAGATGGGGGTTTGATTCCCAGTCAGGGCATATGCCTGGGTTGCAGGCTCAATCCCCAGTAGGGGGCATGCAGGAGGCAGTCGATCAATGACTTTATCATTGATGTTTCTATCTCTCTCTCTCCCTCTCCCTTTCCTCTCTCTGAAATCAATAAAGACTTTTTTAACTGTTTTTAAAAAGAGAATATATGCATCCCCATGTTCACAGCAGCATTATTTTCACTAAGATCTGGAAATAGCCCAAGTGCCTATCAGTAAATAAGCTGATAAAAAAAGTTATGGTGTATTTACACAATGTAATACTATGAGACTATAAAAAAGAAGGATCTCTTACCCTTTGCAACAGCATGGATGGACCTGGAGATTATTATGCTAAGCAAAATTAGTGAGTCAGAGAAAGACAAATATCACATGATCTCACTTATATGTGGAATCTAATGGACAAAATAAACTGATGAATGGAATAGGTCAAAGGGCATGGATGCATGGAACAGACTGACAGATCTCAGAGGAAAGGGAGGTCAGGGTCATGGCAGGAAGAGATTAACCAAAGAACTTATATGCTTATATGCATAGCCCAAGGACACATACAATAGTGCAGTGAAGGCCTGGGGTGGGGCCCAGGTGGAGTGGGGCAAAGGGTGAGAAAATGGGGGACATCTGTAATACTGTCAACAATAAAAATAAATAAATAAATAAATAAATAAATAAATAAATAAATAAATAAATAAATAAATAGAGTAATTTAGCTGCCTAGTCCAAAAAAGCAGTGTTGCCAGGCCGGGCATGGCTCAGCAGTTGAACATCGACCTAGGATCGAGGAGATCGAGGTGCGGTTCCTGGTCGGAACACATGCCTGGGTTGTGGGCTCGATCCCCAGTGGGGGGCGTGCAAGAGGCAGCTGATCAATGACTCTCTCATCATTGATGTTTCTCTCTCTCTCCCTCTCCCTTCCTCTCTCTGAAATCAATAAAGATATATTTAAAAAAAAAAAAAAAAGGCAGTGTTACTCAAAGTGCGGTCTGCATACCAGTGCTTGTTACCAGTCTGAAATAAATTATTTTATTAATATATTAATTGCTTTATATGAA